CCTAGGTACTTTTACTGAGTCTTTTTTACTTTGGTAGAGACTCATATGCAGGGACAAGTATGAGTTCTTGAATAAAATATCTAGTTTTCGAGATCTTAATGTACTTTGGAAGACAAATTATCTAATATTGGAATGGAATGCCTCAAAAATAGCATAATTTATGTATAGGATACATATAGACTAAAAACCAATAATGGTTAAGCCGTTAAAGTATAGTTGATTGATTGAAAAGGCTAGAACATCGAATGCGAAGACAAACAGTCACCATCAAAAACATGAAAAAGTTCTTACTTGGCCAACACCTGCACCACCATATCCTGCACTTAGAGCACCATAAGGAGCTCCAACCATGCCATAGCCAATACGAGGAGGGTAAGTTGGAAGTGTGGGCCCCTTTTGTGAGCTTGACCCTCCTGAAGATTTCTGGTCTGCCTGAGGCTTTGCGAGTGAACACTCCAGTATTTTTCCTGTATAAGAGCAACGATGCATCAGTGTCATCATACATTTTGTTGTATGAAGTGAAATCAAATCCAAAGAAAGAAGTAGGAAACAGACATACCATCTATCTCATATCTCTCAGTGTTCTTCAGGGCCTTCATAGCACTTGACCTCTCAGCAAAGTGAACAAAGCCATATCTGCTCTGTTCTTGCCCTGGTTTAGCTGGAGGAAGAACTACTTTTGTAATCTTCCCATGATGTTCAAACAACTCTTTTAGCTTGTCTTGGGTAATGTTTTTGGGCAAGTTCTTCACATACACGGCTTTAACCTATAGAGTCCCAAAAGGAGACAAAAGATGCTTACATCACAATTCAACATCTTCAGAACATTTGGTAATTAACCCAGCTGGACCATAATGGACAATATTTTATGCACCAAGCGATAAATCATTCTTGAGAAATATAGCTACTTGGTAGATTCCAACTTAGGATCAGACACGCAAAACACAATCTCTAAAGCAAAGCGAAAATCCATACTATCAAGCCCAAAAGCATTGGCTGTTAATCAGCTGTATCTCCAGCAATGCTTCTTTTGATTTGTTAGTCCCTTTTATTGGGGGG